CTTAATATTTTTTTGAATTGAATTCTTTATTTAGATAGATATTAATTTAAACAAAATTGTAAAATTAATTTTCATATTTAAATATGAAAAAAAGTCATCGATTTATAATAAGATAAAAAAGAAAGGAAAAGATTTACAAGAATAGCCAAAAAATTGTCGGATAGAATTGGTCACGTTCCTTTCCGCGAAACTTGCCAATTATCTTATTGTTACCAATCTGATTTGCATAATGTCTGCAATTTTGTAACATTGTTTAGTAAGAGGATTCTATTAGAAGAATGCTGAAAATAGCTTGGAAATCGTTTCAAGTGATGAAAAATAAATAAATTAAGGCATACATATTGAAACAATTAGAAAACAAATTATCGTATAATTATCGATTATCAGTCAAGAAATGACCGATTCGAATTTAATTTTCTTTCTTATCGCTCAATTAAATCGTATCTTCCTGTATTCCTATATTGAATATAATTACGAAATTAACAATTTTAATTACCGTGAAACCATACCGTGAAGTTTTTAATTGAGTTCTATATTTTACCATTCCATTTGAATAATTTTGTTGACGTGTTGTTATGTGTGATTAATTTCAAAATACAAAATTTTAAATTAAGATATAAAGCAGAAATTGAATGATGTGATATCTAAAAATGCTTACATCATTCAATTTGATTCTTGAAACGTATTATTATTAATATTTACATAAAAAATACAACGATACTCACTATTACTATTTATTTCCTATTGAATTTTCATTAACTTTAAAGAAAATCTTTTCATCAATTCCATTAATACTACTCCAACCAAATAATTTGAAATTGAACGAATAATGCTGTAAACATCGTGAATAATTTTCTTCTTTCCTTTAATAGATCTTAGAAAAATTCTAATCTGATTTTTTCTCTCTTAAAATTATCAATTTCTTGAATTTCAATGATTCCAAACTTTGATGCATATAGAGTAAATGTAAATTTTGACCGATTTTATAATCTCGTTATATCGTAAAAGTCACTATAACTGTTCAAACTATCAGGATTATACCGATTTCCGACGGTCAAAGATCTGAAATTACATCAAGCTACTTAGGCCATCAGACCGCATTAGCATACGTGCGCACAGAATCTAGTTCTAATAGGTGTGTTGACTTCACACACCCACCTACTGGTCATAAATCTTAGACCGGTATCTTTGTTGCCGTTACACTTTCTACATTTATGATTTTATTTCAAGATTAATAAGTCTTTTTAATAATTGACCCTTTGAGAACCGATTATCAATTCGAAGGAAAAAAAATATATATATATAAATAAAAAGATAAAATTTTTATCTTAAATTCTTATGCAATGATATTTTCTAGAAATTGCACAAATTTATTCTCGCAATTGCCAGATATTTCAGCGACAACATCTATCTCAAATATATTCAAATTATTTTCTTTGTTTGTAAAATCTCAAGTTATCCTATCTTTATGAAAAAGTTTTATAAAATATATATTTTATTAATGAAATAAAATTTTATATAGTAATTAAACATCTATTATTAATTTATATTACACATAATCAAATTTATTGGAATTAATTTTTAATAGAAAATAGATGGAATTCAAAATTTGAATTTCTATTATTATTAAAAATGAAGAAATATTATATAAACATTATAAAAATTCTTCCCTCTCGAGATGTTTTCCAATTATAAAATGGAATTTAGTAGGAATGTTTGAAACTTTTTTTACAGAAATTGTTGAAAATAATTTATTTCCTTCTGGAATAATACATACTTTGCATTAATGTTTTAAACGATGATGATGATAATGATGATGATGTTTAAAAAATTTGTAATCTAAATTTTTTTTCCACATTCAACAATAATAATCCTGTTTTCAATTGCATTCGATTTGATCTTTGATCGAACTTTTTTTCTTTCTTATCGATGAAACATTTAAATACGGATTAATTTGCGAAAATTTCACAAGCAAAAGGAAACATTAGACGCGACGAAGAAATATTAGAACGTTATGCAACTCTGGAAAAGATTTTTTTTTTTTTAACAGAGAGATTCATATTACAGTAATGTTATAATGCTATCGATTATCGTTTCAGAATATTTAAGACATATTGGTTCACGTTCTTTCGTTCTTTCGATTGTTACTCTTGTTCATTTGATAATATTAATATCGAAAAAAAAAAAA